GAGATAACAAGTAAAACTAATGAAGTGCTTGCTGAGGTAGTACTTCCTGACTGAGTACTGCTTATCCTAAACTTAAAGGATTATCTCTCTTTCTTTCTGTCATGAGTAGAATCAATGCAGTTTTTGCTGAGGGAGTATTTGCCTCTTTAAGTACTACTCACACTTTAAAACATAAAAGAACATATATAGAATCATACATATGGAATCAAGTGTTGTGAGATTATTGTGTGATCGGGAGCACTCCCTCAGTAAGAGCTGCACATAGTATATACTACACTGCAGTACTTCCTTAGCAAGTACTGACAGAGTAAATAGTGGCGTATATATACGTGAAAGAGAACGGCAGTCGCTTCATAACAACAGAAGTGTATCAGACGCATTTGGTCTATTTCTTTGAAAATAAAGAAATATATATAGAATATCAGTTTTTTCTTTATCGAAGAAGGTAAAATCTATTCATTTTCTTATTATTGTCGTGATATTAATTGTGTGGAATTGGTGTTAGTCATTTATGATGGCATCAACATCTGCAGCTACCACCAGACCTAGATGAATTTATTGTTGATGTATTAGAAAATATGGATGAATATGAAAATAAAGTTTATCAGGGATCGATTGGTTTGCCATTAACTCGTGAATTAGATTAGGAACATGATATACCAGATAATTCAAATGTGTTAGCATTGGGCAAAAGTCGTTCGACCAGAAGTAGTCATAAAACGTATTATATGAAGACCAGGGCTGCTGACAGTGATGATGAAGAAGACCTTCCCGGTGATTCTGGAGATGAAAACGCACAATTATAGGTATATTATGGTAAAGGATATAAAAAAGGTATTTAAAACAAGTGTGAAAATGTACATCTTCTTTGATTTTGTATAAAAGCAGGGTTTGATAGATATCTAATTAGGATGTTGGCCTAGATTGCTTGATGTTAGGAATACTTAGAAGGAAAGAGTCAGTAGGAGTGTTTTATGCTTCAGTGATACCTTCCATAATACTAATAAATTTACTGTCCAATATACAATTCGTCGAATCTTTACCAAAATTAAATAGATCATGTATTACTGTATCGCTGTCGTTCGGAGCAAGATATGAAAACATCGATTTAACAACAGCTCGACAATGTGACAAATAGTTTTTTCTTGCTTGATGACTCAAACTTTGACAGTTAGGAGTTTGCCAAACTTTTTTCTTATAGTCAGATAGTTTTAGAAATGTTTTTCAAGTTTTTTCAGGTTTAGACCGCATCTTTTTCGTTTTCTTGTCCATACGGAACTTGTAGTCACTCTATTGCTTCAGTATGAAGGTTGGATTTTCCGGAGACTTATGCTCATCGAGAGGAAG